TCACTGATCCCTTTAGAGGCTGATAAGGTTGCAGACCTATTTCAGAAAAAAGTATTTAACCATTCATGGAATAAAATGAGGTATCATCCCCTGCTCTAAACTCAACATGGATTTGGGAAAGATTAACTCTTCTTTGCTGTATAATCGAGTCCACTAGCATTGAGTTGCTGTAAGTCATTTTGTGACTCCCTAAATACTGCCCCCAAACTTCAGGGATCTGGCAGGTCCAAAGCAGTCTACTGGTTATGAACTCTTGATTTTTTTTTTTTCTTAGTCGGTCCTGAGGCTTGTCAGGGCCTGGGCACTTCTTCACTCAAGGCTAGTGCTCTGCCACTTAGAACTATAGCTCTACTTCTGGTTTTCTGGAGATAAGAGTCTCATGACCAGCCACGGGCTGGTGGCTCACGGCTATAATCCTAGCTACTCAGGAGGCTGGGATCTGAGGACCGCTGTTCAAAGCCAACCCTGGAGGAAAGTCCCTGAGACTCTTATCTCCAATTAACTACCTGGAAACTGGAAGTGGCCCTGTGGCTTTGAGCTGAAGAGCTCAAGGACAGTGCCCAGGCCCAGAGTTCAAGTCCTATAACCCACAAAAAAAAAAAAAAAGTTTTATGATCTTTGTTGCCCAGGCTGGCTTTGAACCATGATCCTCAAATCTCAGCCTCCCTGAGTAGCTAGGATTACAGACGTGAGCCACGGATCCAAGTTCTGAACTTTTGATTTTAAATCCTTTTTCTATGTTGTAAGTGAAGGGTTAAAGTTTTGAGGCAGTGACCACTTGTTGCTTGTTTTTAGCAGAGCAACACGTGGTGGTAATCCAAACACGTGGTTGGGTGGTTGGTTGTGTGCCTTTATAACCCCTGCAAATGTTTAGCTCGGGGCTCTCCTCCTAGGCTCTGCTGTGTTGGAGTGTAGGACGAGGCCCAGCTGCAGCCTGTTTAAATAAAACCTTAAAACAGCTGTAAAGTCTGACTCTCAGTGGTCTTCTTGGTGGGGGTCCTGCAACCTGGGCACAACAGTAAGTGCTGATACTAGAAGGATATGGGCAATAAGCAATAACAACAGGAAAAAAGAGGGCTCTAAATGCAAGAAATCCTTTTCTCAAATAAAAAGAGAAAAAGTTGTTTCTTCAACTTTATGCCCTATTTCTACTGTGAGGCAAAATATAAAAAGATGCTTTTCTAGACCCATATCCCAAGGATTGTAAACAAAACCAACTCTATCAACAGAACTGCAACACTTAAAAAAGAATATTTATCCTTAAGTAATTGTATAAACTGTAGGAATTCTGAAGCTAAACTGTGAACCCTGAAAAGGGTTAAGAGAATGGAAAGCTGTTTCAAACAGCCCTCAGGAGGCTAAAAGCTGTGGCCTGCAAAGATCAAACAGTCAAGGCAAGACAGAGATATAAGTTACCACCCTAAGTGTGTGTACTTTAGGACTGTTTGGATACTAAAAGTTTAAGACTGCCCAGTGCCAGTGGCTCCTGCCTGTAATC